GCCTGGAAGCATTTTAAGTCTGGCTCTGTAAACAGCGATGAGCCGACTGGTCACATGATCTGTGACCTCACTCATCCTCCTGATGAGTTTATGGTCTCAGTCGCTGTTTTAGTTCTTATTGAATAAAACTTGATGAGATTTTGGAAATGATGCTTCCATCAGAGCCAGAAAGGACCAGGAGGCGGGCGCAGGGTGAGGGCGGAGCTTGTGCACGTGTGCAGTTGTCTTGGCTTCTTGTTCAGTTTCATGTTTTTATCATCTCTGTAAATATGAAACATAAATATGTAAAGATGATTATTATGTAAATATTATAGGTACAGTAACAATGAGCGTACTGTTGCTGCGGCTTTGAAGACGTGACACTAAAACCAACGTTGAAGGTTGGTGTTTAAACTGAAAGCAGCAGCTGCTGACATCATCATGCTTTTGGACTGGATCTCCTGCGACCTGCAGGCGGAGCTTTAGCTGGTCCTGCAGCTGCTTCTGTTTATTTCATTAAACTTTAATTAAGTGATCTTGTGAGTTGAACTCCTGTTAGCAACATTAATCCTTTTGAAAGAATATTTCCTGCTGTGGTTGAAGGATCAGTGATGGTGCTTCACCCAAAACAAGTTTTATTGATGTCCTCGTGTTTACACCAACAGTGTGAGACGAGTCAGACAGTAGAGAGCAGAAAACCCCTGAATCCATGTCTGAGGTCATATAGAAGATCCTAACGGGACAGTGAGGGAAACAAAGCCAAACATGAAAATGTAACAAGATACACCAGGAAAACATGGGAAAGCAGAGTGACGGGTGGTGCAGAAAACTGGTGGTGAAAAGAACAACTGGTGGAATTAAAGCCTCCTGTGCAGCAAAACAAAGATTTCAAAATAAAACAGGAAGTGGCGCTGTGAGTGTGTTTGTTGTTTCAGGTTTCCAGAAGCTTTTGAGACGTTCAGCAGCTTCAGGAAGTTTTTCCCGCTGGTTTCCTCCTACTGCTTCTGCTCAGACAGCCGAGGCCGAGAGCTGGAGAACACAGGTACACACACACACACACACACACAAACTAACAAAATGTATTTATTCATCAAGAAAATCTTCATCAGACAGAATCATCAGGTCCATCAGTGAGGATGATGATGATAACAGCGGTGACTGTGATGAAGGTGTGCTCTTTCTGCCCAGGTGTGGAGCTCCTCCTGTCTGAGGTGTACGACTCGGCGTTCTCTGGTCTTCGCTCCGGTCACTCCTTCTCCCAAACCAACATCTACCGAGTCCTGCAGAGGAGGATGCTGGGAGTCCGCCTCGCCCTCACCGGACGCTTCAGATGTAAAATTATCTCCTGCTGGTTTGATCTTTTCAAACTGATTACGGCTGCTGTACGGTGGAGACACTGGTCCAAGCTGGCTGGGTTAGCTGGATTGGACTGTGATTTAGTTTAAAGCAGTTTTATTGTAGGTTAACTGTGATGTGTCCAACTGTGTAAGTTGTGTTGTTGGGGAGGTCAGGCCATTGTTGCACCTGGACAAACACCTTGCTGTGCTATCAGAGCTTTCCTCCTCCACTGGGAGTGTTGGAGGTAGACTGGAACGGCTTCGTGGAAAGTTTGCTGTTCGTGCATCATCTCGTTTTAAAAAGTGTAGAAGGAGGTGACGGCTGGATCAGATAACGCTGGTCTAAACACGTATGTGACCTCCACCTCCCATCCTGCTCTCTGTCTCAGGCCCATCTCCCTGTGAGGAGGAGCGGCGAGCAGCGATGGAGGCGAACAGCGTATTCATCCCATCCTGTGAGAACGGAGGAGCCTTCACCTCCAAACAGTGCCAGCAGGGGGGGCAGTGCTGGTGCGTTGACCCCGCGGGGAGAGAGCTTCCTGGGACTCGGCAGCACGGAGACTCCCTGACCTGCAGTGAGTGTTTTTCCTACACTTCTTCTCATTTGTCTCACAGTTATCTGTCTTCAGAGCTCCTGATGCCGTATCTCGTTTATCTTTCCTCCTCCTCCAGGTTCAGGTCCAGCTGACTGCCGCTCTCAGCGCCGTCTGGCGCTCTCCCGTCTCTTCTCTGGTCCCGTCGAGCCTCCTTTTCAGGCCTCCTCTGGTAGCCCTCCAGCCTCCTGTCTCTCCCTCCTCCAGCCTCTCAGGGACCTCCTCCCAGTGGACTCTGACCCCACCTCTTTTCTGTCTCAGCTGGTCGAAGTCCTGCATGGCCTGTTCCCCTCTGTGGGCGGGGCTCTGCAGGCTCTGACTCGCTCCTCCCCCCGCCGCTTCCAGGAGAATCTGTTTGGAGGGAAGTTCCTGAAAAACGCAGCAGCTTTCAACTTCAGCGGGGCGGTGGGATCTCGGGGAGCTCTGAGTCTGGACCCGGCGTCCTCTCAGACCCTCGCTGTCCGCCTGCAGAGGAACCAGGACCTGGTCCAATCTGTCAGCAGAGCCCTGGAGGACCCCGCCTTCCTCTCCACCCTCCAGCAGACGCTGACGGGTCTCAGCAGCTCTCAGTCTGCCTCCGTGGAACAGGTGACGTTTTTACGCTGCCGTGCATGTGTGACACACACCTGAACATCCTGCCTGGTTCTGCTTTAAAGAGAAGCTGGAACAACATCAGCGTCTAACCTGCTGATCCATCCCATCATCTCCTGTTGACTCGTTTCCAGGTCCTCGCTGCTCTGCTGCGCTCCTGCTCCGCGGATGATGACGATGACCTGGCGGCCATCTTTGTTCCCAGCTGCACACAGAGCGGTGCTTTCCAGGAGGTCCAGTGTCAGGGTGCAGAGTGTTGGTGCGTTGACCCTCAGGGGCGGGAGGTGAAGGGGTCTCGGACCGTCACTCGACGACCTCGCTGTCCGTCCCCCTGTGAGAGAGCGCGGGCGGCGGCCCTCGAGGTGAGATCGAACATGGTGGCCAGTGCTGAAATCCACATCCCGGCGTGCTCGCGGGATGGAGACTTCCTGCCGCTGCAGTGCGTCGGCTCGCGGTGCTTCTGCGTGGACGCTGAGGGGAAGACAATGACTGCCGGGCCAGCAGGGGGCGCTGTCACCTGTAAGACTCAGAAATATTTCAGCTCAGAGATATTTTGTATTTTTTATGTTGGAATAAAGAAACAGGAAGAAAAAATAAATCTTATTAAAGTGGAAGAAGAAGCGTAAAAGCAGCAGGCGATCATTAAACACTCGCTCATCATCAGATTGAATTCTGAGCAGCTCTAACCACAGACTCGCTTTTTCCTCCAGCAGCTTCAAGAGTTTTACCTTGAAAAAGCTCAGATTACAGCCGTTCTAAACTATAAGTGGTTCTTCTGTAAAGATCCGGTTTTGTCTTGTTTTTGGTTTTTTGTATTTTATACTTTGTGGTCACAAAGTTACAGGATGCTCTGTTGTTTCGTTTCAGGTCCAGAGAGAAAAGCAGAGACGCTTCGATCCTCTGCAGGTCAGATCAAACCTGACGTCCAATCAGACCCAAAGTTCAGCCTCAGTTTGGGACATTAAACATAAACAATTTCATTCATTTACGTGACAAATTGTTTTTGTGCTTAATGAACTTTGTCTTTCACGTGAATTTTCTTTCTTTCTTTGATTGTTTAAGTTTCTGACTCACAGTCAGGCGGTTCCAGTTATTTTAACTCAGCGCTTCATCTCTCTCGCTGTCATCTGACTGAACGACGCGTCTGTTGATACGTTTGTTGCAAATCAGGCAAAAAGAAAAAAGAATGTTTTAAAAAATAAATACAAAAAATACAAAAGTATTTATAAACGATAAATGTTCTATAAATGAAAACAAAGTAAATAAACAAAAGTAAATGTCAACTTATGTCGCTAAATTGATAAAAAGTCATTTTTAGGTCATGTGACAAACATTTATTTGATGAGTTAGTTATTTAGTTTTTGTCCTCCACCGTCTGCAGGTCGGTGCTCGCAGGCGTTGGCCGAGGTCGAGACCTTCAGACAGGAAGTGAAGAGCATCGTCGCGCTCTCTAACTCCTCCCACATCCCTCTGGGATATGGATTCCTACTGGCCGAAGGTCTGCGTCTGACCCGTGAGGAACTCCAGATCAGCCAATCAGAGGAGGAGCTGCAAGTTTCTGAGACGCTACTGAGGCGCCCCGGAGCTGCTCTGCGATTGGCTGCTTTCTCCAGTGAGTCACAGACTTTCCAAAGGATTTAAATCAATATATAAAAATACTTTTATTGTGGAATAAAAATGTAGTTACGGTCGTGCTTCCTGTTGTCCCAGGAACTGTTCTCCAGGAACTAAAACAACAAAACAAAAGAAAAATGTGAATCTTTTCTAACTGCACCTGAACCTTGTGCAGGTTTTTAAACATCACACGAGCACAATTTTAAAAAAGGCCTCAAAGGATGAACAAAATGACAAAGAGCTGAAAGACAGAGAAAACGTTCCTCGAGCACATTTTCCTTAATTATTTGAATAAACAAAGGGGCGTGTCCCGCCTTCGTGTCGTCGCACTGACGCTGGTCTTCTTCCTGCTCAGCTGTTCAGATGCTGCTGCCTCGTCAGCGTCGCTCGTACCAGCCGTTTACTCCTCAGTGTGACGCCGACGGACGCTGGCTGCTCACGCAGTGTTACCACAGCACAGGTCTGTCTCTCTGACACACACACACACACGAACACGAACACACACACACGAACACACACAAACTTTTTTACAGAATAAATGTGTTTTTCAGGTCAGTGTTGGTGTGTCGATGAAGACGGACAGTACATCTCTGATTCTCTGACCAGCCGCTCGCTCAGCCTGCCCAAATGTAAGACACACACACACACACACACACACTCTAAGTTCACTTATCCACCTCAGTCTTTGTTGCAATCATAACCTTTGTGTGTTTGTTTCCCTGCAGGTTTGACTCGCTGTCAGAGAGCAAAGGCTCGCTCCCTGCTCTCCGGTTGGATGAAAGGCTCTGACATCACCACCTCCTCACCTTACCACCCAACCTGTGAGCAGGTATTAACCCACAAACATGCATACACCCTTTTCCCAGCAAGCCTGTGAACACACATCAGCCAGGGATTAAACGTTGTCACATCTGTCTCAGCAACTGTGAGGTTCTGATGAGAACAACAGAGCTACTGCAGGTGGGGCGTAAAGACCAGTGAAACCAGTGAAACCACTGAATATGACTTTTGTAGAGAAACAAACCAAGAAAAATACTTTCTGGTTGGATTCCAGCCGGAGACTCAGATCCTCGTTGGGGTGTTGTCAGGAAGGGCGTCCAGTCAAAACTAAATCAAAGATGCAGAGCTGACGTCTGTGGCAGGAGAGCAGCTGAAAGTAGCTTTCAGTGTTTTACAACCTTCAGCTGCTCAAACGGCCTTTACTTAGATAAAGTTTCCTCTGCAGGCTCTTACTGTCAACCTTTTTAAATCTAATCTGAAAACACATTTTTATTTAC